ACTGACTGACTTGGACTGACTTGACTTGGACTGACTTGACTTGCTGGACTTGACTTGACTGAACTGACTTGGACTTGACTTGACTGACTTGACTTGCGACTGACTTGACTTGGAGACTTGCTTGGACTTGACTTGACTTGGGATGACTTAACTTGGATTGACTTGACTTGGACTGACTTGACTTGGACTGACTTGACTTGGACTGACTTGATGGATCTTACTGGACTGACTTGACTGGAACTGACTTGACTTGACTGACTTGACCTTGGCTGACTGACTTGTTGGACTGACTTTGACTTGGACTGACTTGACTTGGACTGACTTGACTTGGACTGACTGACTTTGGACTGACTTGACTTGGATGACTTGACTTGGACTGACTGACTTGACTGACTTGACTGGAACTGACTTGACTTGGACTGCTTGACTTGGACTGACTTGACTTGGATGACTTGACTTGGACTGACTTGACTTGACTGACTTGACTTGGACTGTGACTTGACTGCGACTGACTTGACTTGGACTGACTTGACTTGGACTGACTTGACTTGGACTGACTTGACTTGGACTGACTTGACTTGGACTGACTTGACTTGGACTGACCTTGACTTGGACTGACTTGACTTGGACTGACTTGACTTGACGACTGACTTGGACTGACTTGACTTGGACTGACTTGACTTGGACTGACTTGACTTGGACTGACTTGACTTGGATGACTGACTTGGGACTGACTAGACTGACTGACTTGACTTTGGACTGGACTTGACTTGGACTGACTTGACTTGGACTGACTGACTTGGACTGACTTGACTTGGACTGACTTGACTTGACTGACTTGACTTGGACTGACTTGACTTGGACTGACTGACTTGAACTGGGACTTGACTTGGACGACTTGACTTGGACTGACTTGGACTTGGATGACTTGACTTGGACTGACTGACTTGACTGACTTGACTTGGACTGACTTGACTTGGACTGACTTGACTTGGACTGACTTGACTTGGTGACTTGACTTGGACTGACTTGACTTGGACTGACTTGACTTGGACTGAGCTTGACTGGACTGACTTGACTTGACTGACTTGCTTGGCTGCTATGACTGGACTGACTTGACTTGACTGACTGACTTGACTGATTGACTGGACACTGACTTGACTTGGACTGGACTGACTTGACTTGGACTGACTTGACTTGGACTGACTTGACTTGACTGACTGACTTGGACTGACTTGGACTGACTGACTGTGACTGACTTGACTTGACTGACTGTGACTTGACTGACTTGACTTGTGACTGACTGTGACTTGTGACTTGACTGCTGACTTGACTTGGACTGACTTGACTTGGACTTGATGACTTGGATGACTTGACTGACTACTTGACTTGGACTGAGACTTGAACTTGGACTGACTTGACTTGTCCTTTGGTATTTGTTTCTCTCGCCACAGCATTTTTCCCACAAGTTATAATCTTGTTTTTTACATTCATTACATATCCACAGAAGCCCACTAAGTGGAGTAGGCTATTGTCCTACAATTAGGTTTTTAGAGAATTATTTTTTCTGATGTATTTGGTGTAATCTTTTGTTCTGAATAAGCTTCACTAAGTTTTAATAAATATTCGTAAAAATATAGAATCCTATTTTGAATTATGAAATAGAATGGGAATAAATTTGGAAGATGTAAATTAAATTACATAAATTACACGCGGCGCTTTTTAATCCACCAGTAAATATCATGATCAACCACTTCGTTTAATTCATCTTCAAATTTCTATTATATATGACATGATGTAGCATTTTCATTATTGGATTTACTCATTTCTGTTGTCAATTGTAATTAAATATTTCAATGCAAATATTTCTTTAACAAATATTTGACCATAAGTTCTTCATATTGTACACCTCCCGGCGTAGGGAAACGCGGTTAGCGGCCCGGTTCTAGCTCAGTCAGTCCTACTCCCTTAACTCGTATAAAACTACCAACTGTAACAACTTTACTCGTGTGAAAACTAGCCAATGATAACAATTTCCTGAACTTAAGATTCAGTGATGGAAGGCATTGTAAGACTAAGCATGCATGGGCATTCAAAATAAACAATTTTGATTACTGGTAAAAGACAACGTTTATTCCTGGACAGAGCTGTACAGGGAAGTCACATTAAAAAAATAAAAGAAAAAAAGATTGAATAAAAGGAAAAATAAAGATTAAAATTAAGAAGGAAAGCTTACAACTAGAGAAGAGTACAAAATTATTTTATAGTTAGATTTACAGAGTTGTTCCCTGAGGACCTTTCTTGTGCCTTGGCGCTGCACCGCTTTGACATACTGCAAAAAGGTTTATTGCCCCCAGTTACAATGCCTGAAGCCCTTCGTGGCCAGATGTTCTGTAGGCGGGTGCGCGGTTGGCGACCTTCGCAGGAATTCGCCCCTTCAACAACAGGCAGTCCGTGACGTCAGCAGAGGGTCGTCTGGAGGCTTCTTCAGCGAAATTTGTAGATACTGGCGATCTTGCCTTGCGATCGCAGGTGCGAAGCACACAACGTCTCCTCTGCGTATGCCATTCCTCTCGAATAAAACTTTCAGTAATTGCGAATCCTGCAGCGAACACGCACTGACAAAGGATTCGACAATTTACTTTTGAAGTGCTTTTGCACTTCCTCTAAAATTCTCACTGAGAATTCCGGTCTATCACCCCCAGTGATTTCAACTAAACAAATTTTAACAAAGTGCTTCGGAGGCGCACTCGCCTCTCTCCGCGACTGGCTCCCACCCCAGAGAAGTCTCTCTCTAAATATGTAATGTTATTTCTCCTAAACGCACGAAGTTAACTTTTATCCCCACCCTTTCTCCTCAGATGTTCTTGCTCCTTACAACGGTCGCGTCGCTATTGGCTAAAGGTGATGGCGTTGTACACTAAATTGGCCAATAGGGCTCCGGCAGAGTATAGGATTTTTCCATTCAGTTTCGAAAGTAGGCCACGTCTCTGAAGGGCTTCCCGGCTACTGAATTATTGCTTCGGTTTCCCCGATACGATCACAGGCGTTTCGGAAGTATTCCAGATGTGGGCTCCCGCTGGGCGCTTTTACAGTTTTCCCTTTGTTCGGTTGTTGGGTGGGTGTCATAAACATTCGGAAATGGGTCAGGGGACCGTGGTTGTTGCAAGAAGGGGGGCTGCGCGCGTGACGCCGTATGTTTTTCTTAAGTAAAAAATTCTTAGGTCTGCTTTACTCAATTTAATTTATCTGAATAATTCTGTACCGCTACAATATAAATGTATTAATTTAGGAATATTTAAAGTTCGTTTGAAATATTGTTTGACCGAGTCATAATCATATTCATCCCCA